GGGGAGGAATCAAAGGTTTTGCTCTCCAATTTGTTTTCAAGTTCTACAAAGGTGATCAAATATTCCCTGGTCACCCCCACCCCCAAAGGGAATACACTAGTTGTTTTATTAAAAGTACTTACCTATTTCACCATTATGTTAGAATCATTAACAGAAAACTAACACAAATCAAACTTAAGAAAACAACCTAAGGCAGGTAGTGAACAAGAAAAAAAAACAGAAGTATGCGAGATTAGACTGTCAATATGCTGCCTGTTTGTCAAGGTTTCAATCTGATGTTAGGATATTATCATATAGACTTACCTTTCAAGTTTCATTACAAGCCACCCAAACCCTCTCCTTCACACACCCACAATAAAAAAGTTTCAGTTCCTCAAATCCTTCAGGTTTTTCATCATTCCAAACTTTGGTATTCGTGATTTCTGTGACACATTTTTCTTCCTTAGAGTAAATCCAAGTCATCTCCTCTAACACCCTAGACTACACTCACCTCTATTTTCCTTATCAAAACCTTCATTCAATGACTTCCCTACTTCCTTAATCAAATTGTTCCACCACATTTAGCTGCATGAGGGCAATTGCCATGTCTAGAAAAATGCCTGGCAAACAGTAATTACCAATAATATTCTTAAAACTGAATTTCATACATAGGGCTAAGAAACTGGCCACAACCAATAGTCCATCTGTCCAATTAACTATTCTCATAACTCACCTTGTTTCAATTCCATGCCTCTTCCAAGGCTGATTTTCCTTACTGGAATGCTGATCACACTCTGTCTGTGCCCCAACCAATTATTATGTACTTGTCTTTCATCCAATAAGTTGTCAAGAAAAGATCAGATGTTGTATCACCATGTCTCTCCCTCCCTCCCTCCGTCAGAAGATATAAATATTAATAACCCTCCAGCTTATCTCAAGAGAGCACAAGGTCTTCAAAAAGAGTCTCTGCTAACCCTGTCCATGTCCATTTATCTCTACAAACTGGAGCACCTAGAACAATGGCTGGTACACATTGAACTCCTTGATGGGGAATGTGGGAGTGCTGATTTGGATATTCCCTCAGTCCTCATCAGTCTTTTCAATCATAATTTACCTATGGGTTCAATCTACATTTGTGGCCCTTCTACGTGTGTACTGCCTTTTAATCATTGCGGCGGACACACAAAAATCCTAGAATAAACGCAGTTAAGCCAGACTGAATACAACAGAAAGAAACAAGTACGGAGATCCCAGAGACAATTACCTAATTAACACAAGGCCTTGGAAGTCTTCAGAAATCAAATAAGTGCTTTGAAACTAGGCCTTCTTGTCCTCTTGAAAATGTTAAAAGCCCCCACTTCCCCTGGAAAGTTTTCCAGCGCCTCCAACACTCGGAAGGTCAGTGGGCAGCGCAAGCCACTGCTTTCCCACGCCCAGCAGGGGGCAGTGGGCCTGTTCGGCCGCCCGGCGAGGACCCGGCAGCGGAGCCTCTCTGCTCTCCGTGTGAGATTCGCTGGGCTGCGCGCTAGCATCCACTCCACAGCCACATTGTGGGATCGTCTTCCGGATGACGCTAAGGTTACCGCCAGCTCCTACGAATACAGAGCCCGAAAGGGAAGGGAAATTCTGCTTCCGCTTCCCCACGACCCCCTTCAGCTCTCTTCCGCGCTACCTTTCGGAGTCTTTTTCCTGCTTCCGCTAGAGCCTCTTCCGCTCTCCGGTGCCCAAACTCTGTTCCCCCGCGATTCCTTTCGCTCACCCAGGTCCCCTTTCGGTCCGTGGCATTCTTATTCAGACCCCGGCGGGTGGCCGCGACCCCGGAAGTTCCGCCCCCGCTCCCTCCAGAAGTCCCTTTCCCGGGACGACCTCGCAGTTTTGTTCCCTTCCCGGTGTCGCGAGAAAGCGTAGTACGGTGGACTCCTGTTGGGCTAGCTTCGAATGATGGAATGATGGATTCTGCTATCCTGGGTTTATTCCGGGAAAGGGAAGCTGCTACATCCAGCTAGTTTCCAACGTTCTGCTGTAAACGTGGCTTCAGATGAAGAGAAGAAAACCAGTTTAAGGGAATCGCGAAAGGGGTGGGGAGAGGTACCGAAAGACACCCTATGTGATATATCAGAGTTATTGAGGGATAAATGGATATTTTATCGTTTTTTTAAAAATCAAATACAGTGTATGCCCTGAATATAACATGGCTTTTATAAAGCTCAGTAAGCGTAAAATTCAGTACCAAAACCCTTTTGGCTGGCACAGATAGCAAATGCTTTGGAAGACAGATGAAAGGGAAAACCATTTTTGCATCTGTTTTGGAATCATTTTGTCAAAGAAGTGGGACTGAAATTAGTTATTAGGTGGTTGATGACAAAGATAGCATCTGGATATTAGTTAAAGTGATAAACAACGTTTTGCCCAGTTACTGCTAACAGTAAGGGAGAGAACTGAGCTCAATTTCCCTTATGTAGAGGCAATTCGGTGGAGTGAGTGGAAGTGTGGGTGCAAAAAAGTGAAAAATTACAGAATTGGCCAGCGGAAATGTGACTAGGCCAACAGTGTTTGATAGCTGGTAGTTACCTTAGGCTTTTTTAACCTTTGACTGAGAGGTCTTATCCTTCTTGATGACTGCTTTTGCAAAGTTTGGCTCTGAATTCCTTGATAAAGTACTTCTGAGTTGCAGAAGTTAAACATTTATAATGCCAAGTTCTCTCTGAAAGCTGCTCTAAGAAAAGGGTATGGAGAGCATATCATTTTGTTGGCTGAAAAACAGTTGACCTTTCTCAGGCAGGCATTTTATGGGTGGTTGCCTCATAAATATGCCAGAGATGGGACCCTCTGAGCCAGTGACAATAAGAATGACCTCTGAACAGGCAAAGTTGTAATAGGATCATCGAGGGTTAAGTTCAAGGGGAAGAGATAATACTAAAAGAAAGACCTTGTGCTGCCAGAATAAAGGAGGAGCCTTTTTATCAGATTGCTGGGATGGATTGGAGTCTGGCTGATCATTATCTCAGTTCTGGATTTCCCATTTGGCTCCACAGAAGGGCTATAACTTAAGGAGGAGATCTGCATTTGTTTTGCATGATGTTTATTAGACCCATGATCCTGAATGGTTGGCAATTTGGTTTCTATGAGGTGATTTGGTCCTGCTTAAGTGAGGCAGTTTCATTATGGACTATTCCGTTTGCCAGGTGTTGTTCCAGAAGTTCTGAGTAACTGCAGATTTAGGAGAATGTCTGGAGACTCCAAGGCATGCACCTTTCTAGGGGTGTCTGGAATAGGACATTGTAAGAGCTGGCAGTTGAATGTCCCTGAAAATCTTGAAAATACCTTAGTTATTCTTATTATGGTGTCCTCAGTATTGAAGGGTACAGGATAGGTAAATTTAGGTCAATAAATCTTATATAACCAGTTTTAGATGAACATTCTTTGATTAGTTTACATGCCAGTGTGCAGAGTTGAGCAAGAACCTGATGTAAGTTTTAAGGTAATAAAGGAGGCAAATGTATGATAAAGACAGGTGCCAAGCTGTAACTTACTTTTAATTATCCATCCAGCGTCTGCAGCCTGAGTGAAGTTAGTGCTTCTTGGCAGCCTCTCTAGTTCCTGTTATTGTTGGGGGCTTGGACTGTCTAGTTTTATAAGATTTATTTATTTATTTTTTTTTTATTTTATTTTATTTTTGAGACAGTCTCACTAATTTGCTGCAGCTAGCCTTGGACTTGTGATCCTCCTACCTCAACCTCCTGAATTTCTGGGATTACAAGCTGTTTTAGTCAGTGTTTTTCTTGCTGCACCTAATAAACCCAATCAGAACAACTGTAGAGGAGAAAAAGTTTATTTAAGAACTCACGGTTGGGCTGGGGATGTGGCTCAAGCGGTAACAGACTCGCCTTGCATGCTTGGGGCGCTGGGTTCGATCCTCAGCACCCCATAAAAATAAAGATGTTGTGTCCACTGAAAACTGAAAAATAAATATTAAAAAATTCTCTCTCTTCTCTCTCTCTCTTTTAAAAAAAAAAAAGAAAAAAGAACTCACGGTTTCAGAGATCTCAATCCATAGACAGTGGAGTCCATTCCTTGGTGCTCAAGGTGAGGCTGAACATCATGGTGGAAGACTGTCATGGTGGAAGAGTGTGGCAGAGGGAAGTAGCTTACATCATGATGATCAAAAAGCAGAAAGAGAGAGACTCCACTCACCAGCTACAAATATATACCATGCCCCAATTCCCACTGCCTCCAGCCATACCCTACCACTCCAGTTACTACCCAGTTAATCCCTATCAGGGAGTGAAATCTCCAATTGGGTTAAAACTCTTACAACCCAATCATTTCTCCTCTGAACCTTCTTGCAGTGTCTCACACATGCATGAGCTTTTCGGGGACACCTCACATCCAAACCATAACACAAGCATATGGTACTTTTAATGGTTCATGAGTTAAGGCCCTGGAGTGTGTCTGCCTTTTGTCCCTGTGGTAGTTCCTGACTATATCAATACTAGTCTGTGGCTTTATGTTTTTAGAAGCCATACTGAAATTTGGTCAGTCCTATTAGTGCAGGGGTTTAGATGAACTTGTCATGTCCCAGAGTTCCACAGTTGTCATAGGTAAGTAAAGGAAATATTTCTAGTGGGAGGAATAGAATGTGTCATGACACTAGAATAGGGATGAAAACCACATTTTAGAATATAGAGATTTATATGATAATGTAGAGTCAGAAAACCACAAAGCTTAAAGAGGCGATTTATCTGGGGTTTGTGAAATTCAGCAATAATATTTTTATTTCTTTCTCAAGAACTAAATTGTCTGTCCTGTACAGTTGTACAAACCTCTCAGAGTATTGCTACAACACTAGGATAAAGAGAAGCAAACTTTAACCTCCAAAATTTTAATTGCCTACTCTTCATCAGAACAGGGGCATCAAAATAAAAACTGACTTGAGCTGAAGAAAAATTTATTTGTATATACCAGTTTATGGCTTGTATGAATGCATACCTGTTATGTATGCTTCTTTGTGTTTCCTTTGTGAATGTGTGCATGTGTATTTATTTTCTAGAATTGTAGCTTTCTGTATGAGTAATGTCATACACTTTTTATCTCTCTCAGTGCTTTGTAAATTATATATTCTGACTTTAATTCTACTACAATCATTAACATTTTCCAAGAATCTCTTGATTGCTTAAACATAGTTGAAGTATTTTATTTAGTCCTTTCTTTGAAAAAAATAAGGAATTTAGTATTTTCACTATTTTTCATCTTCCTATTTCATTTGTCAAGTTTTGTTATATAATCTGGTGTTTGAGACTTGACATTACAAAAATTTTATTTTGTATATTATGTGCCTTTTCTGTCAATACTTTTCAAATTGCATTTCATGTTTTAGGTCATATTTAAAAAGAATTCAGGCAATCTATGTTTAAACCCACGAGTTGTTTTAAACTTATGCTTACTTCAAACTTTCATTTTTCTTCACCTCATACTTGGTTACAAAGATACTTAAAATTTTTTTTATTTGTTTTACTCTTTTAATTTTTACTATTTCCCAAGAAATATATAGATCTATTACCTACTTTCTGAGCCCATGCATATCTGAAACAGTCATTGTTTTCTCCACATGATCTTCACCTTGGCTAGTGATCAATTCTTGTGTCACTCTTTTCCCTTTTCTCTGTAGACCATACTCATTTCTTTTGCTAGAAAAAAAACCTGTTGCTAACCTGATATTTATTCTTTTATATGAAATCCTTATTTTAAACTTATCTATATGTTCGTAGGACTTTTATATTATCCTTGTAACATCCATTGCCATGCAATTTTGCTTAGCCATGGATTTCTTTTCAATGATTACACCATGGGCTATCCTGAATATTCAGTCTGCATTTTTCTCCCTCTCTGAGGAAAAGTCTCTTCAGTTACTTTTTTTCATTAATAATTTTCATTCTTTCATCTTAGTGTCTTAGTAATAACTCTAGTACTAAGTGAGCTTTCTATTTCTGCATCCTAATTTCTATTTATCTTTTCATATTTTAGGAAAGTAACCAAGTTATGCTCCACAGCACAGATTTTCTATTGGGGGAGATAGACAATGAAGATCTAAGTAAGTAAACATATAGTGCAGTTTCAGGTGGTATTAAATACTTTGAAGACAAAAGTATGTCTACGTAGTGTTGGGAGTTGATGTTTTAGGTTGAGGAAAGGCCTAGTACTTTTGTTGTATTTATGAATTCCTAACAACTTTCTTGACAAACACTGAGGTTCTCAATCATTGGCAGACATATGGTTCATTTGGATAAACATGCAGATTCCTGGCCCCAATTCCAGATATTTGATTTCTGATCTGAGCAAGTGGTGCTTAAGTGAAATATTGAAAGACAATTAGTAATAGTTATTATACCTCAGGTATCTCTGTACTCTGAACAAATAATGCCTGCAATTATTTATATACTTTAACATTGCATAATACTTTGTAGTTGGAGTTTCACTCATTTTTCTTTTGTAATTCACCTTTTCTCTTCATGTATTTTATTTCTTACTGTTCATGACACAATGCAATGAGGTTTTCAGGATTTTCCATCTAAAGTGCAAAACACCATTTTACTCTAAAAAGAGGGGAGAGATCAAAACAGAAACCAATCCTTAAATATCATGATTTTCTCCACTGTTCTATATTATGAATTTGTGAAAACTGTTGTTAAGTCAAAATTCAGTAATTTGGGCTGAGTTTGTAGCTCAGTGATAGAGTACTTGCCTTACATGTGAAAGTCATGGGGTTCAGTATCTAGTACCACAAAAAGAAAAAAACGTCCATAATTTGACTCCATCTCTGATTTTACTACAATATTTCCCCTGAAACAACACCAACACATGTCTTAGGTTGAATAGGCAGTAGTTCCTATGTGTTTGTGCACATATGTGTGTATCTCAAAACGTTATACCATGATAATTTATGGTTGTAAGCATAATTCTATGTTCAATAGCTCTCTGACAAAGATAACAAGAAAGTGAAGTGGTAAAAGGGCACTCTGTTTAATAAATGGTGTCTTTGTTTTCTGTTGCAATAACAGGAGACTGAGATTGGGTAATTTATAAGAGGTTTATTTTGGCTCATTCTTTGAAAGGCACAGCAGTCTGAGAGCATCACACTTTAGCATCTGCTCAGTTTTTGGTGAAGGCCTCATGCTGCTTCATATCATGGTAGAGAAACAGAAAGAGGAAGTAAGCATTTGCGAAGAAGAACATATGCAAGACAGAAGGGACAAAGTTGCTCATCTGTTTGCTCTCTACTTTATAGAAACTTGCTTCTTCAAGATCTAGTTCACTCCTATAAGACCTAAGAAAAACAGTAATCTCTCTTAAAGGTCCTAGTACCCATTCAATGCTGTTCCATTGGGGATAAAGCCTCACCATGAGTTTTGGTGGGAACAAGTCATTTAATATCATAGTAACTGATACAAACAACTGATATGTAGGTACAAAAAAAAAGGAATGAAATCTTTTACTTTACCCAATGGAAATGAAATCAATATATTTGAAAGATATGCCCACCCCTCACCTTCATTGATAATTATTATTTGTGATAGATAAGAGGTAAAATCAATCTAAATATCCACAGAGGAATTAATGGATAAACTAAATGTGACTAAATGTGAGATATAGATAGATAGATAGAAAGAATATATATAAATATATATATATATATCACATTTAATATATATATACTAATATATATATACATATATATATAAATTATTCAGGCTTTTAAAAGAAGGAAGCCTTGTTATTTGTAGCAACATTTATGAACTTGAAAACAATATGCTAAATGAAGTAAACTAGGCATAAAAATGCATATACTTTTACATGGAATCTAAAAAAGTTGAACTCATGAAAGCAGGGATAGTTGGAAAGGGGTAGGAGGGAATGGGGAAATGGAAGATGTTGGTTAAAAGGTACAACATTCCATTTAAAGAGGAATTAATACTTTGAAAACTCTTTCAAAACATAGTTGAGGAAATGTCACACATAGTGGTGTTTCCCTGTAATCCCAGCTACTCTTAAGAGGCTGAAAGAGGAAAGAGTGTTACAAGTTTGAGGTCATCCTGGGTAACTTAGCAAAATCCTGTCTTAAGAAAAAAGAAAAGGACTGGGATGTGGTAAAGCACCCATGGGTTCAATCTCCAGTACCACAAAAAATAGGTGAGAAAGGAACATTTCCGGACTCATTGTGAAACTAATAGTACCTTCATACCCAAAGATTAAGAATGGGAAGCTGCAGGTCAATATCACTTAAGAATGATAATATAAATAAAAACTGCAAACAATATTCAGCAATGTGTGAATATTATTATATATAAAACTATTGCAACTAATAAATTACATTGGGAAACATAAGAATCTAGGTAAAAGATTAATGTAAAAAATCAGTTTTACTTCTCTGGACTAGCAATAAGCAGTCTGAAACTTAAATAAAACAGCTCCATTCTTATTAACAACAAAAAATAATATAGTGTTAAATTTAACCAAAGAAATTATTTGTAAATCAAAACCTTACTGAGGCAAATTAAAGAAGATATAACATAGAAAACACACCATATTCGTGAATCAGAATACTTAAAATTATTAAGATGGCAGCACTCCCCAAATTGATTTACAAATTAATTAATCCTTATTAAAAACTCTAATAGTTCTTTTACAGAAATTTGTAAGATAATTTAAAATTCCTATGGAAATACAGGGAAATGAAAGTAGCCAAAAACTCTTTTGATAAAGAATACTCATACTTCCTGATATTGGAATGTACCATAAAGCCATAGTAAACAAAACAGCATGGTACTGGGATGAGAATAGACATGTGGGTCAATGGAGCAGAATTGAGAGTTCAGAAACAAACATTTAGGGTCAATTATTGTTTAAAAACTAAGAAGAAAATTTAATGAAGGAAACAATAGTCTTTTCAACAGCTGGTACTGATATAATTGAATGTTCCAGTTCAAAAGAATTTGGAATACTTCCTTATGTTATGTGGGAAAAAATTACTCAAAATTTATTACATCCGTACATAAGATCAAGAACTATAAAAATGTTAAGACACAGGAATCAGTGTTTCTGACTTTGGTTATAAAATAACTTTAAGATATAACACCCAGTATTCAAATCATAAAAATATGCGAAAGTACATGTGGGGTGTGTGTGTGTGTGTGTGTGTGTGTGTATTAGTTTTCTCAAAAATTAAAAACTTTTGTACTACAATTATATCAAGAAAAGATAACCACAGAATGTAAGAAATATATCTGATGAGGATATTATACTTAGAATTTTAATTTTTTATAAAGTAAAAGATAAAAAAGATCTGTAATACAAGCTTTTAAATGAAAAAATGAATAAGCATTTTTCAGATTTCACAGAACACTTACAGTCAATTTTTTAGTGATGGTATTTTTTTAAGTTTATTTTTTATTGGTGCGAATTGTACATAATAGTGGAATTCAGTGTGCCATACTCATACATTATATACAAATAACAATTTGATCAGTCTCATTCCTCAGTGTGGTATCTTCCCTTTTCCTCTCTTTCTTGCTGTACCAGTCTCCCTTTTATTATTGTTGTTGTTGTTATTTTAATTAGCATATTATATAAGCAGGATTCGTTGTGGTATATTCATACATGGACATAGCATAATTTCATAGGTTTTCTTCTCCGGTGCTTCCAATACCCTCCCATCCTCACTCCCTTTTGATCCCTTTCCTGTACTCTATTGATGTTTCTTGTATTTTTGTAAGATTCCTCCATTTTTTCAATTCATATCTCTCCTCATCCCTCTGTCTCTAATAAATGAGAGAGAACACTTGACATGACCTTTTGATCTTAAAGTGTCCCAACCTTTTAGAGGGAAGGAGGAGCCAAGAGTGTCATTAATGTCAGCAACAAATGTATAGATTTATTTTAAATATCCAGTGTCTACTTTGACATCTGTAACACTATTTGCCAGCATATAGGAATGGTAGGGTGAGCATTTAACAATACTACCAACAATAAATAAAAAAGTCACGAACTAGATCAGGAATTCAATGGCAGGTGTCTACTATGTTGTCTAGTTTATTAATGACAACCCCAATTTAAATGGGGTAGGAATTATATAATCTAATTGTTAGTTTTTATCTCTTCTATTTTTTGTATTAAAGTATTCTGAAGGTTGAATGGCATTAATTTATGTGTGGAACAAGGTATGCTGTCTTTTGGTTGGGTTTAGTTCAGCAGCAAAATCTCTAACCTGTGAAGTTCCCAGCACCTCACAGGATGGAGTGAAATAAACAATGGTAACAATCATTGCAAACAATACACAGCATTAAAACAAATACTTAGTTCCTGCTGTGACATCTTCAACATTAATTACCACCAAAAAACAAGAATTATGGGCTTAGCAATTGTCAATAGTAAAATCAACGATCATGAATTAGATCTGACTTTAAAGCAAAGACCGGGTATCAACTATATCATCCATAGCAGTAATGATTGTGTCAGCATTTATGATGGGGTGGTCAGGAGTTACATAAGTCATTTGGTTCTGAAAGATGGTAAAAATACAATTAATTGGGAGAAAGGAAGAGTGTTACAAAGTTAGAAAAGAATTTATAATTTTAAAAAGTGAACAGAGAGATTGCAGATGAGAATAGCAGGTGATGTTTATACAATAGGAGGAAAAAAACAGAAGAAGCAAAAGTATTGGGAGGAAGGGGAAGAGAACAGTAGAATTTGGCCCTTAGCAGGAGGAAAAACAGAAACAAAAGAAATAAACATGAAAATAATACAAAACCAAACAAAAAAAAACACAATCCAAAATATTTAAACCCTCAAAAAACAAAGCTAGGAAAAAAATAATTACGTCTAAAAATGCTAGAAATGAACGAAAAACAAACAAACATGAGTATGTATATATTTCCCTGAACCA